GGAGTGATAGGAAGTCAGCTTGACCATGATCGTTCAATTTGCTTAAAGCATCTTGAAGACATAGTGAAACGGCCTATGCAATTTCTCTTAAAAGAAAAAGCAGCTTGGCATTCTTATCTCTTTGAATAATTCAGACTATCTCATCTCACTGAAATTTGCCAGGCCATCGGACCTACTTCCCTACTTTGAACCCCTGCTGTCAATTGCTACTTATCTCCTAGAATGTGTTCCCTGAAATCTGAGTGTGAGTGACAAGGGAGCTGCCCGCAGGGACCCCATCGGTGTGTTCTGTTGCGTCCCTATTCTAGCTATAGTGCCGGACAGAGCCGTCTGTCATCCCTGCTAAAGTATCACAGGAGATTGCGGCCTGGTCCGGTCCAAGATAAAAAGTCAACACTTCTTTTATGTGGATTTCTCTCCTAAAGATTTCTCATCATCATACATTTATTGAGAGGTCTGATGGAGAAGTATAGAGAGAATAAAGAGCATCTACATATGATTTTTATTGATTTAGAAAAAAATTATGTTAAGGTTCCAAGAGAAATCCTTTGGAGAGTTCTAGAGAAGAAATGTATTGATATGACTTATATTCAATTCATTAAAGTTCATTAACTTATATTCAATTCATTAAAGATATATATACTAGAGTTGCTACTCGTGTTCGAACAGGAGGAGGATTGACCAAATATTTTCTTATTTTAGTTGGATTAAATCAAGGATCGGGTTTAAGCCCATATTTTTTGCTTTAGCTATGGATGCTCTTACTAGACATTTACAGGAGGATATACCTTAGTGTATGTTTTTTGTTGATGATATCCTTCTCGTAGATAAGACTAAAGAAAGAGTTCAGAAAAAACTTGAATTATGGAGGCTACATTGGAGTTTCAAGGCTTTCATTTGAGTAGATCATTGCTTGAGTAGATTTAAAATTAAATACATGGAATGTAATTTTAGTAGTAGTAGTAGCTCCAATGGCATAGTTGTAAATATGAGTGATCAAAACATTAAAAGGTGTGAACGCTTTAGATATCTCGGGCCTATTGTTCAAAGTGATGGTGATATGAATGAGAATGTTATAAGTAGAATTCAAGTTGATTGGTTGAAGTGGAGAAATGGTTCAGGCTTATTGTGTGATAGAAAAGTACTACTTAGACTGAAGGGAAAATTTTATAAGATGGTGGTGAGTTCTGCAATGCTCTATGGCACAGAATGTTGGCCTTTAAAAGAGAAGTATAAAACAAATTTAAGTGTTGTCGAGAGTGTTGTCGAGATGAGAATGTGAGAATGCTTAGGTGGATGAGTGTCTTGGCACTTAGAGACAAAATGTGAAATGAATATATCTGTGATACAGTTAGTGTAGCTCAAGAGGCGTACAAAATTAGAGTGCCCTCCTAGATGATTTGGTCACAATAAACGTCGGCCATTTGATGATTTGATTAAGAGAGTAGATGTTTTAGATTCAACTTATGTTAAGAAAGGTAGAGGTGGACCTAGAAAGGCTTTGGCATATTGTATAAAAAACGATTTTAATTTATTACAATTAAATGCAAATATGACACTCAATAGGACGCAATGGAGAAAAAGAATTCATGTAACCGACCCCACTTAGTGGGATAAACGGTCGTTGTTCTTGCTGTTGTTTGGGTGGGGTCCACTCCTATTACCTTAGGTTTATAAATATGTTGTTTTCGTAATTTAAGTCAGCTTTTTGTGATTTTTCTGTCAGGATAGCAGAAAGCCCTGTGTTCAATTCTAGAACTGTCTCCGAGGGCGACTGGTGCTCCGGTTGTATCTCGATCTGAAGTGGTGATTATCCTCGACCTTCTCATCCTCCACAACATCTCCGTAGACGTAACTTCTGCAGCCCCCCGTAACGCCACCTTTGCTATCAGCTGCAGCCCCACGCCTCCTTGCCACCTCCGTCCTTGTCGTTGTCACTGTTACAACCTCCCTCTTCGCTGCCTTTGTATTCCAGTGCTCCATCTTGCATCCAGCGTTCTTCCAACCAAAGAGAATCCCCTCAGTTGTTGTTCTCACCATCCCGGACCACATCCCCGCCTCCTAACCGTTATCCTGGTCCACTTGCACAGCCTCCCTATCACATATATGCTCCAGCCCCGAATTCCACCTTGATGCACCCAAAACAGAGAGTACTTGAAGTTCCATTGCCATATTCGTCGACTTGCTCCACAGTGCCACCTTACCGCCACCATTTCGGACCCTCAACAACCACCATCATCACCTGCAATCCACCTTAGTTTGAGTTGTTGTAGTCATTTGTCGCAATTTCAGATTTTTATGTGCCAAGTTGTAATTTTCCCTTTCAATGGTGTGGTTGCAACTTACCTATTTATATTTCAGCAATAATATTTTGTTATTTATTGTTGTTTGGGTTAACTTCGGTATCATTTAGTATCAGAACTAACCTAACCCTATTCTTATCCTAGAGTTGCCAAATCAGCCCCACCCCCTACCTCCCTCCAAAGAAAAATGTTTTCCCTTCTTTTCCACTCAAACCATCCTTGCATCCCCTTCTACCCCTACCAAAACCTTAAACTCTAACCACGCCACCAAAGAGATAATTATCGAAACCTGAACAGAAGAAAATGTCGCGATGTCGTTTATGAGAAATCAGCGAAGGGATGTCCAGGAACCTTCTATAGAGGATGTGTGACAAGAAAACCTTCAATTGCAATAAAGGTTAGCCGCCTTCAATAGGAAGCGGTCCGGACGAGTCACCCATAGCCCCAACTGTGAATTACTAGATCAAATGAATGGAGTAAAACCATGCACATTTCAATGATGAAAAACCTCCACCCTGAAGATTTGACTTGAAATATCTAAGAAGCAAGGATTTGGCATATTTTGATGATCACTTGGATCTAAACGAGTTCATCGAGTGACTTCAAACCTTCGAAATTTTCTTTTAAGTACCAGGAATTCTCACCGGACATAATGTTAATGAAGAGTGGATTATTTTGAAAGGAAAAGTTGAAGCATCTACACCCATGTGAGGCAAAAGACAACATCACTATTTTGTCCAAGTTGAAATGCGAGATGAACTGTCAGTACCTATCAGTTCATTACATATCGGATGTTCAACCCCTAACTACAAAAGTGAAGAGACAACATCACAGAATAACAATCACATCTTCCAGGCGGGGTTCAACCCCAAAATCTTAAAGTCAGAGTACACCTAGAGAAACATCCAAATCGAGTTTGTCTGAGAAGGAAACTAATTCAAAATAGAGAACAAGTAGAGCAAACATGTGTTCTAAAATATGTCCCAACCAGAAAGTACGTCAAGTGTCATGGGTTTGGGCACCATGCATCAGATTGCTCAAAAAAAGGCTCAGTCTATTTCACTGAGCAGGGACAGTTGAAGAAATGAACAATGACACAGCAGACAATAAAGAAAGAGAAGACACAAAGGAGGAGTATAAGCTATCAGTCAATGAGAAATATGTCATCAATTCCAATTAAATCGGGAGAGAGAATTCCCGTTGAGTTAATATTAACTATTCTAGAAGGTAATGACTCCAAGGTAATAGGCATTTAGGCATAATATGAGATTGTGGTGCCTAGAACTACCTTTTTGCAGGCATTGAGATTAGCATCAGTATGACTAGCATTAGATGTCCAAAAGGGTCATGAGTTTGAGAAGTCAATATCAGATATAGGGCAACCTCATTAGAGGATTTTGAAATTTCAGATATATAGTCTACCTCTTAAGTTTCCCCTAGTGAGGGAGGTCCAACAAATCAAAGATAAGTCTCTTTTGCACCACCGTCGGAATACTATATGGAGTCATTGAATATTAAAATCAGTTCAACACTGTACCCACCGATAGTTGTTAAGAAAGAAAGGATGAACCACAGCGTTGAAAATTGCTTTAAATTTTTTTGGGGAAAGAACATCCTACAGTAGAATTCAGGTCCTTTCAGAGAAGAAAAAGAAGAAAAAGAAGCCCCTCCTGAGTGGTTACAATTTAGTGTGGCACAGTCTGCCTTAAATGTTGTTCCAGAGTTTATTCCTTCCGATAGACTTGTTCATCACACATTCAGCCAAGTATAATGAGTGGGAGAAACAGATTATAGATTTACTTGCTCGAGATTTGGCTCCTGAAAATTTATGTCGATATGCAGTTCCAGCTCAAGTTGTGCCCAAAATGGATGGAAACTTATTTTATCAGGATGCGCTTTGGAATGACAACACCTAGAGGAATGACTTACTAGGAAGTTACAATAGGGCCGACCTGACGACTATGATGAGACAGAAGCTTCGACAAATGAGATTGAAACTCCCCCCCCCCCCCCCCCTCGCTCCTCCTCTCTCACCATTATCTTTTCGCGTATTCTACTATAGTGTCCCGATTCTAGCTACCGCACCGCATGGAGCTGTCTGCGATCCCTAACCACATGACATTGCAACTTGGACTGGTCCATAAGCGTCGGCCGACACTTCCTTTACATGAATTCCCCGCACTCCCACCTACTGACACCATTCTGAACCCCCAACAACCACCACCATCACCTACAATCCACCGTAGTTTGAGTTGTTGTCATTTGTCACAATTTCAGATTTTTGTATGTCATGTTGTTGTAATTTCCCCTTTCAGTTGTTTATTTTTCACTTCCCCATTTGAGTTTCAACAAAAATATTTTATTATCAATTGTTGTTTGGCTTAACTCCGGTATTAGTGAGTTTGCCCTTAAACATGGAACATATTGTCATTCGACACAAAATATAGTGGTTTTGCTTAAGAGTAAAATAAATTTCAAATACCATATTTCAGCTCTAAGGAAGAAAATCAGTTTACATATTAGTTTTACAATGAGAAATGTAAATGTGTAACGTGCTCTTCTCCCTATTAGTTTTTATCATAGATCACATTTTGTAATTGTTTAGAACATAGTTGTGTACACATTTTGTAATATTTGTATAGTAATGCAAAATGCACACTTTCAAGGAAGAAAATGAGTGAACTTATTCAGACTTACATGATTGCAGATACTCCACGACAATACCGTTCCCACATGGTGCGAAACCTCTGTTGACCTCCAAGGTCCCAGAGCTTTATGGTCACATTGCCCTTCGTCACTTTGCGCATGTTAAAACCCACCTTTTTTTGGGAAGAAGTCGGATTAATGACTTCCAGATATACAAAGTAAAATAGTTAAAATCATTAATTTCCTTAAGTTATGACACATACAGTTGGAATCATGTCTTCACTGTAGCCACCTGTCTGAAAACATAAAATAGAATGAATTTTATGTAAATTACAGAAATATACAGCAATACCAAAAATCAAATATCAAGTTGTCTCACTGAAATAGCATTAACAAGCGAAGTTTTTCCTGCATTCTGAAGTCCAATAAGTGAGAGTTCCATTTCCTGCTTGAAGAACAAGCTGCAAAATATGCTTTTAGAACTAGAAAAAGATACCTGGCCTTGAAATGGATAAAGAGCAAGCATCAACTTTAGATATTAAAATTAAGTTAAATTTAAACACATACCACACAAACCTTATGTATTTATTTATCTAACACCCAAAGTTTGCACTTATAACGCCTTCATGTCAAAAACCTGTGCATGAAAGGTGCATTTCACTTTTAAAAATGTAGTGATGGTGGTAAATTTGATGTGATGTTAAATATTTGAGTGGTATGCATGTAAATATGAATGTTTTGGTGTTAGAATTTATATGCATAAGAATTGTGTGGTATGTATGTAAACGCCCCTTAAAATTGAAGGGCCAAACCCTGTTATGCTAAGAAAAACTAGCTGGCATAACGAACTCATAGAAAAAAGCAGCTATAGAATTGCAACTAACTTTGGAAATGTATCAAGAACCATTGGTTTCTTGAACACTAACAAGGCAAGTGCAACTGCAAATTGCACTTAAAATCCAAGGTAAGTCCGTATTTTGCGCTACTGCTCAAACTATGATGTGAGCATGCCTAACTGTCACCAATGTTCCAATTGAAGCTTTCACAATATTTAGAAACCCCCAAATAGAGCCTAACAAACTACGATGGTCAAGAAAAATTATACTGACAAAACTCTCGTGAGGCATCTTAAGACCAAAGAAAACATAGTAAAGATAGAAAAATAAATAAATAAATCCAGTAACAATTATTCAACCCATGGCAAATTTTGGCATTACAATAACAACAAGCATTTATTTGATAAGTGGGGTCGTCTACATGAATCATTTTTCTCCATTTTGTCCTAAAGAGTGCCATATTTTCATTTAATTCTAATAAATTAAGATCATTTTTTATGCAACATACCCAAAGCTTTAAGGTCTACCTCTACCTTTCTTAACATAATTCAAGCCTAAACCATCTACTCTCCAAACAAGGTCAACAGATGGTCAATATTTAAGGTGACCAAGCCATCTAAGGTGACTCTCTCTAACATTATATGCAACTGGAGCTACTCCAACCCTTTCATGGATATATTTGTTTCGTGTTTGGTCTCTAAGTGTAAAGTCATTCATCCACTAAGCATTCTCATCTCAGCAAAACAATTTAACTTCATGCTTCTCTTTTACAAGCCAATATTCCACACCATGAAGCATTCAGGTCTCACCACCGTTTTATAAAATTTTCCTTTAAATTTGGTATTCTGATTAGAGTGGCACTAGAAATAGTGTAGGTGTAATTATAGATAAGAGTTTGAAAAATAATATTGTAAAAATTAATAGAATGGTGATAGAATTATTGCCCTTAAGATTATTATTGATTCTAAGTTTTTTAATTTTGCTTATGCTCCTCAGGTAGGTCTACATATAGGGGCTAAAGTTAAATTCTGGAATGACTTAGAAGACTTAATACAAATGATTCCTCTTAAAAAAAGAATTTTTATTAGAGGAGATTTAAATGAGCATGTCGATAAGGTGATAGAAGATTTCAAAAATATTCATGGTGGCTACGGTTTTGGAGCGACGAATGAAGAAGGTAAAGTCATTTTAGATTTTGCTTTAGCATATGATTTTATTATTACTAATAATTTATTCAAGAAAAGAAATTAGTAACTTATTACTTATAAGAATGGGTCTAATAAAACACAAATTGATTATTTTTTTATGAGAAGAAAAGACTGTCGAGATTGTAAAGATTGTAAGATCGTTCCAAGTGAGGATTTAAGTACCCAACATCAATTATTAGTTCTAGATTTTAAGATGAAGAGTAGTAAAATAAACAATGCTAGGACTCGTCAACGCAGAATTAGATAGAGAAAACTAAATGACACATAAAATTATTTTTATGAGTAAAATTCAAGATTTCAAAATTTGGGATGTTTATGAAGAAGCAAATGATATATGAGAAAGTAACAAACACTATTAAACAAGTGGCAAAAGATGTACTTGGAGAATCAAAAGAAAAAGTTTATATAAATAAAAATAGTTGGTGGTGGATAATAACGTGCAAAAAAAGATAAAATATAAGAAGTTATGTTATAAAAATTGGTTTAATTGTAAAACCTTAGAGAACTGAGAAAAATATCAAACGGCTCGTAGGGAGTCTAAAAGAACAATTTGTGTGCTAAAAATTTTGCTTTTAGTAATTTTTATGATAGATCGGATACTAAGGAGGGTGAAAAATATATGGGATAACTAGCCAAACAAAGAGAAAAGAAAAGTAAAGATTTAACTCAAGTAAAGTGTATTAAAGCCAAGTAAAGTGTATTAAGTGTATTAAAGATGAAAATCAAAAAGTGTTTTTCATGAAAAAATATATTCAACATAGGTGGGTGAGTTATGTTGATAAACTTTTTAATAAATTTTCTGAAAATAGGATCGACCTTAGTGATCTTAATATTGTTGATAATAATAAAATATTTCATTTTTACCATCACATTAGTTAAAAAGAATCATCGCATTAGTAAAAAAGAAGCATTAGTAAAAAAGAAGTTGAGGGTGCTTTAAAGAAAACTAAGGGTGGAAATTGAAGTGTCAAAATATTTAGGAAATTTGGAAGTTTCTTGGCTTACCAAACTTTTTAATATTATTTTAAAAACTAAAAAGATGACTAAGGAGTGGAGAAAGAGTATTTTGATCCCTATTTTCAAAAATAGAGGGGATGCATAAAAGTGTGCAAATTATAGAGGAATTAAATTGATGTGTCATACTTTAAAATTATGGGAGAGGGTAATTGAACATAAGTTAAGACGTATTACAAAGATTTCTCATAATCAATTCAGTTTTATGTCGGACAGGTCTACCATGGAAGCTATACATTTATTGAGGGGTTTGATGGATAAGTTCAGAGATAACAAGGAGGATCTACATTTTTTTTTTATTGATTTAAAAAAAGCTTACGATAAGGTTTCAAGAGATGTCTTTTGGAGCGTTCTTGAGAAGAAAGGTGTTGATATGACTTATATTCAAGTCATTAAAGATATGTATACTAGAGTTGTTAGTTGTGCTCGAACTGAATGAGGATTGACCAAATATTTTCCTATTTTTGTTGGATTACATCAGGGTTCAGCTTTAAGCCCATATCTTTGTGCTTTAGTTACGGATGGTTTTACTGGACATTTACAAGAGGATGTACCTTGGTGTATGCTTTTTGCTGATGATATCCTTCTTGTAGATAAGACGAGAGAAAAAGCCGAGAGAAAAAGCCACGAGAGAAAAAGCCAAGGAAAAACTTAAGTTATGGAGGTCTATATTGGAGTCTAAAGGCCTTCATTTGAGTAGAACTAAAACTGATCACGGGACAGAAGTGTAACTATGGGTGATCAAATTATTAAAAGATGCGAACAATTTAGTAATCTTGGGTCTGTTGTTCAAAGCGATGGTGACATAGACGGGGATGTTAATATTAGAATTCAAGTTGGTTGGTTGAAATGGAGGAATGCTTCTGGCATTTTGTGTGATAAAAAATTACCTCTTAGAGTGAAAGGAAAATTTTACAAGAAGGTGGTGAGACCTGCAATGCTCTATGGCGTTGAATGTTGGCCTTTAAACGAGAAGCATAATACCAAGTTAATTGTTGCCGAGATGAGAATGATTAGGTGGATGCGTGACGTTACACTTAGAGACAATATGCAAAATGAATATATCCGTGATAGGGTGGTGTAGCTCCAGTGACGAACAAAATTAGAGAGAGTCGTCTTAGATGATTTGGTCACATTAAACACCAACCATCTGATGATCCGATTAGGAGAGTACATGTTTTAGATTCAACTAATGTTAAGAAAGGCAGAGGTATACCTAGGAAGACTTAGGCTTATTGTATAAAAGATTATCTTATTTTATTAGAACTAAATGAAAATATGACACTAATGTTAAGAAAGGCAGAGGTATACCTAGGAAGACTTAGGCTTATTGTATAAAAGATTATCTTATTTTATTAGAACTAAATGAAAATATGACACTAAATAGGACACAATGGAGAAAAAGGGTTCATGTAGCCGACCCCACATAGTGGGATTAAGGCTTTGTTGTTGTTGATGATGTAAGTCTAAGCAGTACTTTTCTATCACATAATAGGTTAGCTTCATTCCTTCATTTCAACTATCCAACTTGAATTCCACTAGTAATACCCCCATCTATATCACCATCACTTTGAACAATAGAACCAAGATGTCTAAACGTTCACTCCTTTTAATGACTTGATCACGCATATTTACAACCCCTCCACTAAAAAATGAAGGAGAATGCAAGAGAGAGAGAGATACAGAGAGCGAACACAAGGTAAGGAGAAACAAAGAGGAAGAGCAAGCAGGCAATCCCCGCAATCATGCAAGTGAGAAAACTTTGAATGAAGAATCTTCCAAGCCTCTTTAGTGAGGTGGATGAAGAACAAAAAAAAGGTGATGAGGTAGTAATAGGTTACATACATTTTAAACTTAATTTGTCGAGAAGACAAAGGAGTTGGAGAGCAAAAAATTGTGACGGAGTAAATATCAAATCAAAGTTATATCAATCGTCACTGAAACTATACAAATGACGCCCGTTCGAGAAGACAATCTACATCAATGCTACAAAATGTCAAAAATATTTGGCGATGCCACAAGAATGTGAAACACAAATTTACCCATGCACAAGACTAACAGCATGCATTATGAAGCGCTCGAATGGTGAATTTGTGAGGCAGAAATATATATATATACATAAAAAAAGCCCAAACACTAATATATTAAAAAGAAAAAGATACAGATAGGTTGTATGAGTGGGCCCAAAAGTGGTACCCAATCCACACGGTACAACACAAAAAAAACTTAAAAAAAAAGAGAGAGTATATATAAAAAACTCAAACCACCAGGACTAGGGACGACCCAATTTAGTCCTGCTTCTATCTTTAGTTCTCGAAAGGGAGTCAGCTAACAAATTGGTGAGGTGTGTACCATTACCCGAAGTAACCAAAGTATTATCCATTAGATTCCTGAGCTCAAGTA